TGAGAATGCAAGGGGCTGGTTTAGGATGTGTTTTGTGTGTGCGATGGTCCCAGCTACTGAATGAGTTATTCACTTTGAAAAAATAGCAATAAATTAGGAAGAAACATCCAAAAAAGGAAAAAATCCGCTGCGCTGAGGTCTGCGAAAAGGCACATTTTTTAGACTACTGACGCGCAGGAAATGCAGAAGCTTGATTTGAAAATCCGTTTCATAGCCGTCGTTTCGGTTAAATGAAGCGACATCCGACTATAGGTTGCATCGGTACCTGGGCCTTTTTCCAAGCAGGAAATAGCTCACTCAGCTGAGGGTTCAAAAAATCGAACTCTCTACTTGTTTCGAAACGCAGCCAACGTTAATCTTGAAAAAGAGCATTTCTGGTAACGTAATCAATAGTCTAAGGTTGTCAGTACACATTACCAAAATATCGCTAATCGAGAGCCACTCACGACGAAAATATAAACAAAACAGTTTCGCTTAACCTTTATTGGCAGAACTTTCTTTAGAATCTAATAATTGAGAGTGCACAGGAACGACAGAAATAATTTATGCTGCTATGTTCCTTTTATAAACGAAAGTGAAAAATGTTTTATCTTATCCAAAAGAATTTTTATAACGACGGTCATTCCGTGACAATTGGCTCTGAAGGTTTTTGTTTCGGTCACGTAAAACGCTTCTCATAGGTTTCCCCAAAGTGTTCTTCGGAATTTTCTCGACGAATTCCACACCGCCGACCAAGTACTTGTGCGGAGACACTCTTTCTGTAATATACTAATTGTGCTTTAGGACTTGAAAAAGGAGCACCAGTGCAAGAGCTTACCGGCAACATAAGCTTTTACTTCGTCTTCGGAAAGGTTAGCTGATTGCCGAACTACGTAAGCCTTTGGTACCTCACCCTTCCTCTCATGTGGAACACCAACCACAACTGCTTCACTTATCGCTGGATGTTTGGACAAAATATGCTCCAATTCAGCGGGTGGAACCTTGAACACCGTTGAACAAAGAGAAGAATTTATATTCCGCAAGTAAGGTAAACCTGAAATCCCTTGACTTTGATAAGGTCTTTCAGTCGATCTACAATGAAGAGGTACCCTTTGTCATCTACATAGCCAAGGTCACCTGAAATTTTCGATCTACAAGTGTTAAATTGTTAAAAAGAAGTGTTAACAAAAATAGTAAAAAAAGAATGACTTGCAATTTTGCTGGAAAGGTAATCTGGTGTATAAGATTTTTCAAAGAAGTAACAAAATTTAGTCAATCAGCGGGAGCGTGGGCTATGCGGAGTTAAACCGTTCGTGTTCCCGTGGGCTCCAAATTCAAAGGCAGTCCCTTACCGAAATTTTAGGGTTTTTATTGATTGGAAGTCTTTTCGACCTTGTATAATCCACTAAAGGTTCAAACCCAGACAAAGTTTCTAAAATCCACTTTTCCGAAGACCCCAGATGGAGGGCGTTGTATTAAAAGACGTACAGTAGTGGCGCCAACAACTTCATCTCAAGGGGAGGGGAGAAAGGTCGC